GTGGTGGCCCCTTGGCCGTGGAACACCCTTCCTGGGGACATTAGATCAGCCCCCTCCCTCTTAACATTCCGGAAAAGAGTCAAGACATGGCTGTTTGAGCAAGCATTTGAAAATGCAATGTAAAAGACATAGGAATATGGAACGACTGGACGAAGAGATTGGACAATGTTTTTAATTAGGAGATGCAATTTATTTAAGTTTTTATTGTTCTTGTTATGGTTTTTATATTATGTATTAATGTTTTAAATGTTTTATGGTGTTGTTGGGCATTGAATTGTTCCCTCTGTAAACCACAGGTTAAACCCCTGTGCCGGCAGGACTGAAGAACGACAGGTCGCAGGTTCGAATCCGGGGAGAGGTGGATGAGCTCCCTCTATCAGCTCCAGCTCTTCATGCGAGGACATGAGAGAAGCCTCCCACAAGGATAATAAAAACATCAATTCATCCTGGCATCCCCTGGGCAACTTCCTTGCAGACAGCCAATTCTCTCACACCAGAAACGACTTGCAGTTTCTCAAGTCGCTCCTGACACGACAAAAAACAAAAACCCACTCTGAATCGCCTGAGGGCTGAGAAGGGTGGTATACAAATATAGTAAATAAATAAATAACTGAAAGACTATATCAATTCTGACTCCCAATCACTCTGTATTGAAAGGAAATCAGTGGAAAAATAATGTATTGTTCTTCCATTAGGTCAAACCTGATAGCATTACTAATAACCATAACTCCACATTCTTATGTCACTAGATGTCTTATTGCTCAAAAAGTCCATAAATGATATCAATTTATTTTTTAAAAAAATCATAAATAAATTCAAGACTTGCACCTCTCCTTGACAGTTCATTCTTTAACTCCGGACTGGTTTACCGTCTTAGGATGCATCTACACTGTATAATTAATGCAGTTTAAAATCACTTTAATCGCTATGTTATGCAGGGAGCTCTTCAGTCTTTTCTGCAAAAGAGTGCTGCTACCCCAAACAAACTACAACTCCACATAGCATCGAGGCATGGCAGTTAAAGTGGTGTCAAAGTGCATTAATTGCACAGTGTAGATGCACCCTGAGGCAGTAAACCAGCCCTGTGTTTGGCATCAAGCCTGTTGCTGCTTAACACAGACTGGTACTGCTGCTGGCATAGGCTGAAGAGAAGATCATCAACATCTGGCCAGATCATGCCATCACAATATGATACAGCTGGTGATAACAAGAGGCCCATTTTAAGAGTCACGGGACAACATTGCATTGGTCTGCTCCTTTCATCACAGTTGCCAATAGAGACTAGACTTGGAGAAATGAATTCAAATACGAGAAAGGAGATTCCACCTGAACATTAGGAAGAGTCCCCTTTGGGGTGTGAAGGGAGGGATATAGATATGGCAAATAAATAAATATATAGAATCATAGAATCAAAGAGTTGGAAGAGACCTCATGGGCCATCCAGTCCAACCCCATTCTGCCAAGAAGCAGGAATATTGCATTCAAATCACCCCTGACAGATGGCCATCCAGCCTCTGTTTAACAGCTTCCAAAGAAGGAGCCTCCACCACACTCCAGGGCAGAGAGTTCCACTGCTGAACGGCTCTCACAGTCAGGAAGTTCTTCCTCATGTTCAGATGGAATCTCCTCTCTTGTAGTTTGAAGCCATTGTTTTCTGTCCTAGTCTCCAAGGAAGCAGAAAACAAGCTTGCTCCCTCCTCCCTGTGGCTTCCTCTCACATATTTATACATGGCTATCATATCTCCTCTCAGCCTTCTCTTCTTCAGGCTAAACATGCCCAGCTCCTTAAGCCGCTCCTCATAGGGCTTGTTCTCCAGACCCTTGATAATTTTAGTCGCCCTCCTCTGGACACATTCCAGCTTGTCAATATCTCTCTTGAATTGTGGTGCCCAGAATTGGACACAATATTCCAGGTGTGGTCTAACCAAAGCAGAATAGAACTTCCTGACTGTAAGAAGAGCTGTTCAACAGTGGATCTCTCTGCCTCAGAGTCTGGTGGAAGTGCCTTCCTTGGAGGTTTTTACACAGGGGCTGAATGGCCATCTGTCAGGAGTGCTTTGATTGTGCTTTTCCTGCATGGCAGGGGGTTGGACTCGATGGACCAAGTAGTCTCTTCCAACTCTATTATTCTATTATCATTAGTCAGCAAAGGAATAGATAAGGTTGGGGAGTCCACCGGCCAAGTTTGGATCCTTGCTGGATTCCTCTTTGTTACCTCTCTTACATCTACAAATACAGAACTTGCGCATGGATGCAATGCAGCAGTGAAACTCAGAGAAGAGGTGGCCTAGATACAAGATTTAGAAATGTGTCTTTTCTCCCAGGCTTGGGAGTGACATGGCTCAAAGAAAATGTTAGAAAATGTTGACTATTTCCGTTCCCTTGGCAGCCACCTCTCCACCAAAGTCAACATTGACACTGAAACACAACACCGCATGAGCACTGCAAGTGCAGCATTCTTCTGAATGAAGTAGAGAGTGTTTGAGGACGGGAACATCTGTAGAGATACCAAGGTGCTTGTTTATAAAGCTATTGTCCTCGCAACCCTGCTATATGCCTGCGAAACGTGGACCATCTGCAGGTATCACATGCAACTCCTGGAATGATTCCATCAAAGCTGCTTCTGAAAAATCCTTCAAATCTCATGGGAAGACAGGCGGACAAATATCAGCTTGCTGGAAGAAGCAAAGACCACCAGCATTGAAGTGATGCTCCTCCGCCATCTACTCTGCTGGACTGGCTACATTATCCGGATGATAGGGTAGATACATACATACATACATACATACATACATAATAGAATCATAGAATCATAGAATCAAAGAGTTGGAAGAGACCTCATGGCCATCCAGTCCAACCCCCTGCCAAGAAGCAGGAATATTGCATTCAAATCACCCCTGACAGATGGCCATCCATCTGTCAGGGGTGCTTTGAATGCAATATTCTTGCTTCTTGGCAGGGGGTTGGACTGGATGACCCATGAGGTCTCTTCCAACTCTATGATTCTATGATTCTATGAAGAAATTTCTGCAGATTCCTGAAATATTGCTTGTGTCAACAGCTGCAAATGAAAGCTCGTTTTCAACTCATACATGCATACATACATACATAGATATATACATGCATAGCTAGATAGATACATAGAGATAGATGCATGCATAGATAGATAGATACATAGATACATGCATGCATGCATACATACATACATAGATACATACATACATAGCTAGACAGATACAGAGATACATACATAGATTCATAGATACATAGCTAGATAGATACATAACTAGATGCATACATACATATATATATACATACATAGCTAGATACAAAAACAGATAGATAGATACATGCATAGATAGATAGATAGATAGATAGATGCATAGCTAGATAGATACATACATAGCTAGATAGATACATACATAGCTAGACAGATACATACATACATACATAGATACATAGCTAGACAGATACATAGAGACACATAGATACATACATACATACATACATACATACATACAGAGATAGATACATAGATAGATAGATAGATAGATAGATATAGAGATACATACATATATACATGCATGCATGATAGACAGACAGACACATAGATAGATAGATAGATAGATAGATAGATACATAGATAGACAGACACATAGATAGATAGATAGATAGATAGATAGATAGATAGATAGATAGATAGACACATAGATAGATAGATAGATAGATAGATAGATAGATAGATAGATAGACACATAGATAGATAGATAGATAGATAGATAGATAGATAGATAGATCGATCTGGTTACATCCCGTATTGATTACTGCAACGCGCTCTATGTGGGGTTGCCCTTGAAGACTGCCCGGAAGCTTCAGATGGTCCAGCGCTCGGCAGCCAGGTTGCTAACGGGAGCAGCACTCAGGGAGCGTACCACTCCTCTGTTGAGCCAGCTCCACTGGCTGCCAATCTGCTACCGGGCACAATTCAAGGTGCTGGCTTTAGCCTATAAAGCCCTAAACGGTTCTGGCCCCACTTACCTCTCCGAACGCATCTCCACCTATGAACCGACTAGAACATTAAGATCGTCTGGGGAGGCCCTGCTCTCGGTCCCGCCTGCGTCACAGGCGCGCTTGGCGGGGACGAGAGACAGGGCCTTCTCAGTGGTGGCCCCTCGGCTATGGAATGCCTTACCGGTAGACATCAGACAGGCACCATCGTTGCTGGCGTTTCGGAGAAAGGTCAAGACCTGGCTTTATGAACAAGCGTTTGGTTAAACAGTGCAACCGAACATAGGAAGACGGTAAATGGAACATAGGAATGGCACAAGGATTATGAGATCGGATCTGATTTCATTGAGGCGCTATGTTTGTTTCATGTTGTTTGTTAATTGTTGTGGATCGTTGTTGTTGATCCTGTTGTTACATTTGTTGTGTTTTTAATTGCACTGACACTGTTATGATAATTTGTACCTTGTAAACCGCATTGAGTCGCCTGTTTGGGCTGAAAAATGCGGTATAGAAATAAAGCAAATAAATAATAATAAATAAATAGATAGACACATAGATATAGATAGATAGATAGATAGATAGATAGATAGACAGACAGACAGACAGACAGACAGACAGACAGACAGACACATACATACATACATACATACATACATACATAGGTACATAGATTGATTGATTTTTGGATAGCATAGAGAGGGGCTGTTTAAGTGTTTAAGCTCATGCGGCTAAGGGGGAAAAGGAAAGGCCTGGGGCTGTTCGGAATGGTGGGAGTTGGAGTCCAAGGCACCTGGAGAGCCCAAGTTTGCCCAGGCCTGCTTTCACTCCAAAGTCTCCAAAGAGCCTCTGAGGCGCCTTCTTTTTTATAAAGAGGAGTGGGTGGGACCCGAGCCAAACAGGCAAGTGCTCCGACCAATGAGGAAGCCAAAGGGAGATCGGGGGAGGACCAATGGGGGTGCTTTTTGCCGTGGCCACCCCCCCCCCCCCTTCCAGACCTCCGGCACCTGAACAGCAGCGTTGCAGGAGTTCAGTCTGAAGCCGGCGCTTGTCGGGTGCTGGAGAAGAGCTCCGCGGAGGAAGAACACTTTCGAGGGGGAATTTCGCCTCGAGGAAGACAAGAAGAGAGGGGAGGGAAGGGAGGGAAAGAGGGGGCACCCATCCATCCATCCATCCACCCACCCGACTCCACTCCACTCCACCCCGAGCTGGCGCGCTCTTCACATGCGCAGAGGCCACGCCACGCGACCAGCCATGCGCCCGCCACCGCCGCGGCTGAGCCTCCTGCTCCTGATGCTCCTCCTGGCCTCCTCTTGCCCGGGTAAGGCCCCCCTGGATCTGGATTTGGATTTGGGAAGGGGTTCATGTGTGGGACTAGGTGGTGTTTTCTTTCCTCCGGGGTCTCTGAAGAGCTTGGCGCCCCAAGTTGGGATGTGTTGGCTTCTGGAGTGAGTGGGGCAAGGGCATTCCTTTCTGCAGGTCTTGGGGAGAGGAGGAGGGGGACCAGGAGGGGAGCCAGCCCCACAGGGAACTCCCAGTCCCATCTCCTTAACATCCTGAGAAAGTCTTGGGTGTCTCCTCCTGGCATATACAAGTTTTTGAACAAGACAGCTTCCCTCGGTTTGGTCTTAAGTTGAATGAGTATGTAAGTCGGAACAGGGACATTGTTGAAGTGTAACTCCAGACAGAGATAGATAGATGCACAGATACATAGATGGGTAGATACTAGGGAGATACAGAGATAGATAGGATAGATAGATAGATAGATAGATAGATAGATAGATAGATAGATAGATTTTTGGATAGCATAGGGAAGGGTTGTTTAAGTGTAACTCCAGCCAAAAAGAGATAGATACACAGATACATAGATGCACAGATGGATAGATACATACATACATAGGTAGATAGGTAGATACATAGATAGATACATACATAGGTAGGTAGGTAGATACATAGATATATACATAGATACATACATAGATAATACATAGGTAGATAGGTAGATACATAGGTAGATACATACATAGGTAGTTAGGTAGATACATAGATATATACATAGATACATACATAGATAATACATAGGTAGATAGGTAGATACATACATAGGTAGTTAGGTAGATACATAGATAGATACATAGATATATAGATACATAGATATTTAGATACATAGATACATACATAGATACATACATATTAGATACATAGATAGCTACATGCATAGATACATACATAGATACATACGTAGGTAGGTAGATACATAGATAGATACATAGATATATACATAGATAGATAGATAGATAGATAGATAGATAGATAGATAGATATACACATACATACATACATAGATACACACATACATAGATAGATAAATAGATAGATAGATACACACATACATAGATACATACATAGACACATAGATAGATACATAGATAGATACATAGCTAGATACATAGATATATACATAGATAGATACATAGATGGATACATAGATCGATAGATACATAGATTAATAGATACATACATACATATCTAGATACATAGATGGGTACATAGATGGTAGATACATAAATAGATAGATACACACATACATAGATGCATACATACATATATGTCCCCTGACATTAAGTCCAGTCATGTCTGACTGGGATGTGGTGCTCATCTCCATTTCTAAGCCGAAGAGTCGGTGTTGTCCATAGATACCTCCAACGTCATGTGGCCAGCATGACAGCATGGAATGCTGTTACCTTCCTGCCGGAGCGGTACCTATTGATCTACTCACATTTGCATGTTTTGGAACTGCTAGGCTGGCAGAAGCTAGGGCTGACAGCAGAAGCTCACGCCGCTCCCCGGAATCGAACCTGCGACCTTTCGGTCAACAAGCGCTTTAACCCACTGCGCCACTGGGGGTTCCACATACATACATGTATTTTCGGATAGCATAAGGAAGAGTTGTTTACATTTAACTCCAGCCAAAAATAGATAGATACACAAATACATAGATAGATACATAGATGGTCAGATACATAGATGGTCAGATAGATAGATAGATAGATAAGTAGGTAGGTAGATAGATAAATAGATAGATAGATAGTAGATACATAGATACACACATACATATATTTTCGGATAGCATATGGAAGGGTTGTTTAAGTGTAACTCCAGCCAAAGATAGATATATAGATGGATAGATACATACATACATAGATAGATACATACATGCATACATAGATACATACATAGATATATTTTTTGGATAGCATAGAGAATGATTGTTTCAATGTAACTCCAGCCTATGTTTGTATGTATCTATGTATCCATTTGTGTATCTATCTATCTTTGATAGATACATAGATAGATAGATAGATAGATAGATAGACAGACAGACCGATCGATCGATCGATCGATCAATAGATAGTAGATACATAGATATACACATACATAGATAGATATATTTTCGGATAGCATATGGAAGGGTTGTTTAAGTGTAACTCCAGCCAAAGATAGATAGATAGATAGATAGATACATAGATACATAGATACATAGATGGAAAAATACATACATAGATAGATAGATACATGCATATATACATACATAGATATATTTTTCAGATAGCATAGGGAATGATTGTTTAAGTGTAACTCCAGCCTATGTATGTATCTATCTATCTATGTATCCATTTATGTATCTATCTATCTTTGATAGATACATAGATCGATAGACAGATCGATCGATAGATAGATTGATTGATTTTCAGATAGCATAGGAAAGGGTTGTTTAAGTGTAACTCCAGCCAAAGGTAGATACATAGATATATTTTTGGATAGCATAAGGGAAGATTAACATCCCCATGGCATTTGTTTTGCTGCCTGTTTATTTTGCTGCAACTTGGGGGCTGACTTTAGTTATATATACTGATATCTTGAGATATCCTGCAGTGTGTCTTCTATTTGCATATACCAGCAGTCCTCAAGTTATGAACAAGATTGCTTCTGTCGGTTTGTTCTTAAGTTGAATATGTATGTAAGTTGGCACAGGCACCTTGTATAAGTGTGACTCCAGCCAAAGATAGATTGATAGATACATAGATAAATACATAGAGAGAGAGATACATAGATACATACATACAAACAGAGGCGGCCCTAGGTAATTTTCAATGGTAAACAAACAGTATTTTGGCCACCCCCCCCCCCCAACCAATTATTGATATATATTTTCTGTTCATCGTGGGAGTTCTGTGTGCCATATTTGGTTCAATTCCATCATTGGTGGAGTTCAGAATGCTCTTTGATTGTAGGTGAACTATACATCCCAGTACTACAACTCGCATATGTCAAGGTCTATTTTCCCCCAAGAGCCTCAAGAGTGCCCCTGGGCAAAATCAACTATACTGCAAATGCTTATTTTGCGTAATGGCTGAGGCTTCCCCCGGACTGCTAGGGCTGTTGTGAGCCGAGGGGGCGCTCCTCAAGTCGTGGTCGAGGGGCATTTACAGAGGCGCCTCTGCGCCCCTGGCAAAAAAAGTGTACTGCGACCGCTTACTTTGCGTAATGGATGAGCCGTCCCTGCATACATACAAACATACATACATACAAACATAGATACTTAGATAGATAGATAGATAGATAGATAGATAGATAGATAGATAGATAGATAAAAACCTACATAGATGGATACATAGATAGATATAGTTTTAGATAGCATAGGGGAGGGTTGACTTCCCCATTGCATTTCTTTTGCTGCCTGTTAGTTTTGCTGCAACTTGGGGACTGCCTTTAGCTACCTATACTTACATCCTGAAATATCCTCTTGTGTATCTCTTCTATTTGTGTATTCTATTTGCATATACCAGCAGTCCCCAAGTTAAGAACTAGATAGCTTCTGTAGGTTTGTTCTTAAGTTGAATGTGTATGTAACTTTTATCTTCCAATACGTTTGATTGGTTTTTAACTGTGAATTTTTAATACCATTCACATTTTATTCTGTTTTAACGTTTGTATATTTGTATATTGTAAATGGTGTGCTAATGCTTTTATGTGAAGCCGCTTTGAGTCCCCTTGGGGGAGATAAAGTGGAGTATAAATAATAATAATAAAAGTAATAATAATAATAATAATAATTATTATTATTATTATTAGTCAAAACAGGTACATTGTTTAAGTGTAACTCCAGCCAAAAGATATCGTTTTGGATAGTATAGGAAAAGAATAACACCCCCTTGGCATTTGTGTTGCTGGCATGCAGAAATACCTTCTTGTATATCTTCAATTAGTATATACTGTTTTGGATTTTTTTTTCTTCCCCTCAAAGATATTGGAGTACCTATATTGGGTCTTGATCAAGAGAGGAAAGCGAGGCATGCATAACAACAACAAAAGTAGTAGTAATCATTGTATATAGGTACATCATGAGGTATCCTGGAGATACCTTCTGTTGGGTTGAGTATTTGGGATTTTCTCCAGGTTTTTGAATACCTGTATTTACATATAAGTACATCATGAGATATCCCGTTTTCCCCTTATTTGAAAATCTTGGGACCCGGAATGTTGTTGTTGTTGTTGTTTTTATTTTGGAGAATCTGTATTTGCATATATGTACATCATGAGATACCCTGGGGATGGGAGCTAAAGCTAAATGAAAAGTTTATTTATATTTCAGATGCACTGTATATGTATGTATGTGTGTACTGTGTATATATATATATATATATACACACACACACACACACACACACACACACACATACATACACACACACACACATACATATACGGTATACACACACACACATGCCTGAAGATAATTGTATGAACTATTTTTGGATAATGTGTTGTCGAGGCTTCCATGGCTGGAATCACTGAGGATGCCTGCTATAGATGCAGGTGAAATGTCAGGAGAGAATGCTTCTAGAACATGGCCATATAGCCCGAAAAGCGTACAACAACCCACTATTTTTGTATAACTTTGGGCATGAAAGTTCTTGTATACTGGACCATCGAAAAGCAAAGGTTTTTGTATCTCAGCCTCCATATGGACAATTTTGGAGATGAAGAAATAATAATGTAGTAATAGTAATAATAATAATAATAATAATAATAATTTAAGTATCAATTCCTTATCCACAGTTCTGAAATATGAACTACTCCAAAATTATCCTCACGTGTGGCTGAAAGAGTAACACCTCCACTTTCTTTTAGTTTAACGTAGATAAACCTGATTTCATGCACAAAGTTATTAAAAAGTAGTATATCAAAAGGAGGAATTTTGACTGATTTGTTTTATTTTAATGTTTGTATGTTGTGAATTTTAAATTGCACTGTTTT